CTTTGTAAAGCCTCAGTAAACGACATGTGCTTCTCTATAAGCAAAAGACTCATATTCTTGTGCTTCATCTGTAGCTACTTCAAAATCTTTGCATTTTAACAATTTTATGTGTAGTGAAGAATTAATATGCATTCTGTTCAGTAATTCCTCCTATCACAAGAAGCCTTTGAGTAACTTCTAATACAATCACCTGGTACTCAGTGGAAAAGGTTCAGTAGGATTGAAACCTGGCAATTTCCTCCCTGCCATTTACTACTGGGATTATAGCATAAAAGAGTTTGAACTACCAAGTTATTAAAGAAGAGAAACACAAATATGCACTGAGACAAACAAAAAAAAAAAAAAAGAAGGAAGCTCTCATTCTCCACTGCTGTGTCCTTAACAAAGACTTTATATTTTCAGTATACTCAAGACCATGGACAAGGTTATAAAAATTAAATAATCTAGCCATCATAACATCCTCAAAATACAGTTGCTTACATTTTTCACTTGTCTTGTGAATTCTGATTCTCCATCCCAGGAAGGATGAATGCAAGTGGGTTCATCTCAAGCTTGCAATTCAACTTAGCTGCAAGCATACGTGCAGTCAAGTTTTCCTACTTGCTGTTCAAAAGGGAATTAGACAACAGGGATAGGTCTAAGGTCTAACCTTCCCACTCCTTTTCATCTTCTGAAAGTTGCTTTAGTGTTGTTCAGACATGCTCTTGCCCCTTGCATTTTCTTCCCTTTCCCCTCAGTCTCATGTCCATGACGTTCCCTTGCAGTCACAGTTTCTCAGTCTCCTATTTCTTTGCACCACTCACAACCTGACTCTTACCCACACAGCCCTCTCTCTGTTGACCTGCATCTCGCTTCCCACACTCTTCTGACCTCCCCTACCGTTTTGTCCCATGCCCTGACCATCCACTCTCTCCTGATCTTCTTCATTCATGTTTTAGTCTCCCTACAGAAGAAGCTAGAAGGAGAAAGGCAAAATTTCCATTGAGGGAAACCTTATTTCACCTCATATGAAAACTGTGTCAGTCTCAGTGGGAGAAGTTTCTCTTTTATTTGTAAAGATAAAAGATTCATTTACCGATTTCCTGAAAGTAGCAGCAATTCCATTCCTAATAACAGAAAACTAGGAGACATTTTAGAAAACAGAGGTAAAAAGCGAAGGAACACATAAAAAACCCCAGACTTTTAGGAAAAACGACTATTGCTGTATTTCCTCAAAAATAACAAAGTATGGTCCTGAAGAATCCCACTGAACCATCTATAGAGTATTTAAATCCTGGAATTTTCCACTGGTAACTGTGGGTTACACCATTTCACTGATGTAGAAGTCACTAATTCACTGACTAGAAGTGGCTCACAATAATTGTGCAATATCGTGAAAATCAGTTTAATGTATTCTTCATTGCCTAATTCCTGTCCCTTTTATAAAAACTCACACAAGCTCACCATGTGAAGACAGAGATTCTGAGGTAAGGCAATAAAAAGTTCCTATTTTCTTTAAATGACAGTAAAAGGCAAGGAAAATAGATTGTCCTGAATCTTTATGAAACAATCCTTCCAGTGATCCATGTCTGTTCAAGACATAATTTAAGGCACTCTCTTTAAAACATTTCCTCTGTGGTCATTACTGAAAGGTTTGAAAGAACACAGTCAACCTCAAATCACACTTTTTTCTGAACATATTTATCATCTAATAATTCGGGGATATTGCTTTTTGGTATGTTGACTGCAGATCTGAGGGAGGGTAGGCCAGTCAGTATTTCTCACGCATTCCCTTACACATTTTGTGTATTCCATCAAAGGGGGAGTAGGTGTGAGGGTAGAAGGTATGTGGCCTAGGGAAAAGGATAGTACCAGAAATTACTTTTGAATTTGTACTAGCACTTGGAGTAGATACATAGGATGATAATATCCTTCAATCAGCAGTCTGGAAAAAACTTATTGGGATGGAAATTAGCATCCAAGTAATGCTAAGTAATTCTCCTGCACACAAAGTTCAAGATTAGATTTATGAGCACACATGAAGTTAAGGGGACAGGATGCTCTTCCCACAGGAATACCAATGAACAAACCACAAGATCTATGTGGTTACATACTTGTACTTACTCCTTCCCTCCAGAAAGGAGAAACCAATGAGCACAGATGAGGAAAGAGGCAGATCGTAACAAAGCCCGGATCTATGGAGAGCTCTCCAGCGTCACCATTCTGCACATCTCTCAAAAATCAACAGAGAACTTAAAGCAGAGGCAAAGTGTAGTCTGATTAATCTATTCCATTGACGGTTATCCATTTGCACTTCCTTTTTGAAAAGAATTTCCAAGCAATTGTAAGGTTTATCAAGTTTCATCTTTTAACACTCAGATCCATAGGGAAGCCTGTTTTTTAATTAAGAACAAAGATCAAGCAAGAGAATTTAAATGTTCAAGTGCATTTCAGTCTTCAAACCTCCAGATATTTCCTTTCTTTATTACCGCAACATTTGGTTTTCCAGGCTTCCTGTCTCCTGACAGTCTCCATTCAAGCCTCTGCCAAATACTGGTGACACTGCTTTGGTTCTTCTTAAATCTTGGCTTTCACACTAACCTCCAGTTCTCCAAAAACTCCAGAGTGCCATAAGTTTTCTACAAATACAATGTTGTCAATACCCAAACATTTTACATATTTTAAGTTTGATAAACATTTTTCAAATCCAAGGCAGAATGTTGGTAAAACCCCTCTTGAGTTCTGGAAAAAAGCCTTCCTCTCCAGGGCCCCCGGGAGACTCAGCTCCAGGATGTACCTGACACCCAACCATTAGCATCTCTGAGCTGGGACTGTGAACCTCCAATTCATAAGACATTTAAAAATTGAAAAAGGATCTGTTTAGGTATGGCACACCTCTCCCACCTGTGTGTCCTTGCGTTGCTTGTGAGAGCACAAGTGTGGATATTGATATATTGTGTCAGACCTGGCAGCTATACATTGAATTTGAAGTTATAAGTTGCAGCTTCTTAAACAGTATCTCAGCCTAAAATTTTGCATGTCTCCATTACGGATTTAAACACAGACTTACTCTTCCAGCTTGTCATTTTATCAATGACAAGTGCTCTTGTGTCTGCTTTGGTCAGGAAGCTGTACTCAGATTCTGGTACAGGGAAAGAGTGTCTTCTCCATGGAGATGAGAATATTAGATTATTTTTTTTTTCTGCTTGGACAAACCAAACCTTTTCAATTCACAGTTATGAATCACATACTTTGGATTTTATGGCGCTTCCTTTCTCAGATTCTCTCTCCCTGTGTGCTTGCCCTCTCCTCTCCTCTCCTCTCCTCTCCTCTCTTCGCCTTCGCCTTCACCTTCTCCTCCTTCTCCTTGCCTTACCTCTCCAGGCTACATCCAGCAGCAGCTATTATCTTCCATTTGCCCCAGCAGCTGACAGGTTTGGGATGTATTTGCCCCCATGTTTCCACCCCTTGTCTCATCCCAGCTGCAGTCTGGATGAGGAAAACTGCTTTGGTATGCAGTGCAATATGTTCTTGTGGTGTCTGGATATTGCAAGTAGCTTATTTTTTGTCTGCATTCCTGCTAAGAAGGGTAGCGGATGGACAGGATGAGCTAAGTAGTCGTTTGCACTGCAACAACAGGCTGACAGTTATGTAAAATACTTTCATGCACAATCCCTTCTGATCCTCTGCTGGTTCAGAGGAGTATTATGGTCAGATTCAGCACGCAGGCTCTTGCAAACTCATTTTCATAAACTGGGGCACTGCTAAGCATAGAGAAGACCAAGACCAAGGTTGCTCTGTTTCTTCCTCCTCAGCATTCACCTTTTCTTTCACCTTAATCTCCTGTCTTCAGCATCTACAGTCTAAGCCTGTGGGATAAGCACAAGACCTCTTTACTGAAGTGCTTCTACAAATAATAGTACAAATCACCTTGCAGAGGCTACTGCAGGGTGACAAGGCCTGCTGGCCAGATGAGTAGGAGTTGCTTTAGCATATTATTCTAAAATGGGATTAGTTAAGTAACTCTATAGCCCAATTCAAACACTGAGTCCAATTCACTTTTCTAAGCTTCCCACTTCTGTATATCAGCTAAATACCACTGATTAGGCTTTCAATTGAACATTTTCTGAAAGGCTTTTGCCTGAGTTCTGGGATGATTTGTGGGATTCAACAGAAAAGTAATACAATGACCAACTAACTGTAACCATCATGGGCAGCAGTGGTACACACAAATGTTCAATCAGCTGCTGGACACTATCATTGCTGCTACTTACAGAAGCAGACACCTTTTCCATCGCAGAAGGACAATTTACATTCACAAGGAACAACATTTTCATATAGGTCAATTATTATATGTAATAAAAGAGATTGCTTTCATCCAAATATAAATATTCAGATTCAAATTTGGATTAAAAATTGTATCTGTTTTTTACTAATATACATCTGTTAGGGAGTTATCAAGGCAGAGAGGGAGTCCAGTTTCTCATAGTATATACTGGAAGGATAAATATTTTTGTGTGCTAAAATTCGGTGGAAAAGCACTGATAACAGCTTGAAATATTCATGAATACCAAAATATCCTGTATAGATAATGGTCTTTGATCCACTGCCTAATTTTGTAATTCTTACATGATTTTAACCTTTTAGAAGTACTTTACATTTATGACTCAAAAATTGTATCCCTTTTCAAAGAAGATGAATCCTGTTTATTTTACTTTTTAATAGATATAAAATTACTATGAAAAGTATTATATTTCTATTTAAATACTGTCTGTTAAATAACAGTGCTCTTAATTAAAAATAACTTCAGAATTCAGCAAGGTCATTCTGCATCTTTAATAGCTATCCTCACAACAGTAAGCAGACTCTGAATGTCTTATTCAGAAATATTCTCTTCACTCATCACTGCAGCTTTAATTGTCTAGGCAAAGACACTCTGTTGTCTCTATGTGTCTGATACCTGAACATGTTTTGTTCTAGTGCATTCACTCCAATGTTATAATTCATTTTTTCTTACTCACCTCCGAAGTAAGAGCCATCTGTCAGCTTCAGCTCCTTATTGGATTTGGTGATGACACCAGCGACACCATGCTGAATGAAATACATCTTTTTACCTACAGCCCCTTCTCGGATAATATAATCACCAGGTTGGAACACCTCAAATCTCAGTTTGCTTAGCATGGCAGTTACAAAATTTGGGTCTGCGTTAGCAAAAAGAGGCATTGTAGCAACCAGCTTCCGACAGTTGAAGTTGACAATCTCCTAAATGGGAAGGAAACAAAATTATAATAACGGTCAGCAAATGTTTACAATACAATCAGCACTGAAAAAAAGACTTTCTTCTTCTTCTTTCATACAGAAGTTCTTTATGTTCATATTAGACTTTTCCGTGTTTCTTTCTGTGCCTAATTTTTTAGTCTTTTCATTATACTTTAATCTGTTTCTAGTGAAGTGATTGAAACAACAGTGAAGTTTGATTTATATGTCTGAGGTGAAAGGTTGTCTTCTTTAGGTGATTTTTCCCATTATTCATTATTTCTTTTGGATTTTAATGGGAGAAATATGACAGAAAGACAAAAACTAAATAGAAATTACACTGCCTGACAACAGTATTAGCTGCTGCAATAACTCTATTAGGTGATAAAATTATGCAAGCCCTGTGTTTTCAAATATTACAGCAGTAACAACTTTCTGATCAGAACAACTCCAGTGGTAATATGAATGGTAACATTACAGTTAGCTGCATGGCTAGCTGAAATCAACAGGAAAATTTCCTTCCCAGAATTAATCCATTTTATAAACAGACAGGCATACATTCCTGTCTTTTAAAGAATTACATATGTGGTAGACACCTATATGCAGAAAGTTCTGCTATTTTTCTAAGAGTTCTACAAGTCTTAAGGATGTCTCCCACCAAGAATATTTATATTTACAGAGCCCACTATGAGCACATTTACATGTAAGTATTAGTATTAAAAAACTATGAATATCCTACTTGATTTAAATTAAAAAAAGAAAAAAAAAAAAAAGAACAATTTCTGAAAGAGTTTCAAGTTCATTCTTGCAGACCTTACTTTATATTAGGAAAATTGGCATGGTCAGTTGTCATATAGATTTAACAGCATACTGAAGAGCTGACACTAATCAGTAGTACATATGAAGAGGGGCTCAGGCAGGCAACGTCTACTGTGTTAGCAACTCAAACATGAGAGGAAGAGCATATATGATCATCTGCATATAAATGCACACAGAGCAAATAAAAGAAAAACACAACTAGCAGTCACCTAACTGCTTTGTAAAACTAAATAGAATTTAACTGTTAGTGGAGCATCCCTAACATTTCCTACACTAAGCCAAGGCTTAGTGTAATTGTAATTGATGTAAAGGAGACATTCCACCTTCGAGTACTCTATACTTAGATAAACACTATATAACCCTTTTTTCCCCCTCCTCTTTTTCTCTCTGTAGTGAGCCAAGGGATACAAAAAATAAATATTTTTATATAATCATAATTTAATGTAGATTTAGTTCCAGAATTATTGGGTTAAAGACAGAGTGAATAAAGAGTAAGGTGCTACATCTTTGAAGTCAATCACTAAGCTCCAACTGAATCCAGTGGGGATATGATTCCACCAAGAACATTTTATCTGAGAATTATTTATAAGTGATGGAAATAGAACAACACTCCTCTCACATCACTTTTCACTGTACTGCCTCACTCTCCCTCACCCTCTCTGATTGCCATAATTTTGCCTTCTTGGCATGCCTGAAACACTGCATCATGTACGGACTCCATGGCTAAGCATAAATGGGCTGGATTAAGACAGGAGAAGACAGATCTGAGACCAAGAGCAGACTTCTTCATGGTTGTATGATACTAGAAATGTAAAGGAATACATGGCAGGAATGGAAACTAGAAAAGCTGTGAAGAAAAAAGCACTGATAGATTCCTATTTATAGAAGGGAAGAGCAGGCTGGCTGTGCCTCCCACCAGCAGGCAAAAACGTAGATGCTACTGGTGTGACACTGTAGGACAATACTGTCTACACACATGACATCAGAATCAGATCTAAAAAAAAACCCCAAAACTAGTCTTGCTTGCAAAAACTGATGGAAATTTTGATGCAAGATATGTGCTGTTTACCTGAATCCAAAAGTTATCTCAAGGAATAACACTGCAAGGTATGAACTACCAGATAGCTGTCATGGGTGTTCAAGATCAGTGAATCCTGCTGAGTCAGTAAATCAAGAGGAGCAATCCCAAGCTACCCCTTCAAGTATATTCTGTATGAGGGAGTAAATATTACAGAAAGGTTCTAGCTAACTACCTTTCTAAAAGATGACGATAAACTGGTTTTCCTTCTCATCTAAATACTCCATTTCTCAGTTAAGCTTCAGCCACCACCTCCATCCCAAGGAAAAGTTATTCTCTGCTCCTGCTGCTTGCAGTATGGTGGCATCATGTGAGGAGTCCCAAACTATCTCCTCAGCTCTGTATGAGACTGCTTTACTGCAGTCTCGGTTGATGCTGGAAAGCTGGCAATAACTATTACTTCTCTTGCCTTGCCCAGGGACTTTTCAGTAGACTTGCTGCTTGTTTTCTGTTTCTGAAAGTGAATAGCTTGTCTTGCATGCCCAGGAGGCAGAGAAAGGAAATTACTAAAGAAAGCAGAAATTGACAGGAAATTATATAGAAGCCGGTGGGGAAGCACAGAAAAGGCTGGCAGAGTGGAAAGTTCAACTCCAGTCATGATCAGGAAAAAAGAGTAAAATAGACCTAGATGGAGTAGTATTAAGACAGAAAGAATGGGAGGAAAATAAAAGGAAGGAACAGAAAGACCTAGAAGAAAGGGGAAAAAAGAACGCAGGAAAGTTGGCTGTAAAAAGAGAATGAGAAATTGAAATTCCTGAAAAAAAGAGAGCAGAGAAGCATGATACCTGGAGAAAAGGTATCTGGAGTGAAAGCTGAGAAGTAGTGCAGACGAAGTAAACAAAAGAGAAATTGAAAAAAAAAAAAACAGACAAGTGATCAGTAATATATATTTATAGCAGCATAGGACAGCATGATAGAGACAGAGGGGAGAACACAGATCTTTGTGACTTCTGTGCACAGAGCCAGTCCAGCATGACCAGAAAGGAGTTCATCCCAACAAACACACCCCTGTTGCAGGATATTCACCCTTGGAGCCTCATGTCCTCTTATGGCTCCATCTTCTGCCCACCTTTCTCTCTCAATACGTAAACTATATCTGGATATTCCCATGTATACACATACGTTACCTACTCAGCCTGAATTGCCTAATGAAGGTAACAACATAGCTACAAAACTACCCTGCTGTGGTAATTTCAGCCATTATGTCCTAGTAATGCATTCATTTTGTTGATTAGTTTTCTGAGAAAGTTTATGCTAAAGTACAAACTCTCCCTATTTAAGATGTTAGAAGGTGGAAAATTACTGAGGGAAAAAGAAATGTGTCATTTTTAAGTGCTTTGTTTTTCTTTAAAGTGTTCTTTTATTTAAATATGAGATCATTCAGAGCAAGCAAAATACATTTCCCTGAGTCTTAATCACAGGCAGAGCTGCAATTTCAGATTCTTGTGTACTACTTTAAATATCATCTTGGGGAGAAAGAAAAAGTAAAGATTATGAAAACATTTTATGTAACTCAGAAAGTAATAGGAGAAATAGTTCTGTATTTCAAAAGAAAGGTAAGAAAAGAACAAACTGCCAAATTAAAAGTTGACATTTTGTGCAGAGAAAAATCTTTCACTCATATGTTCTTTAAGTTTCTTTGGAGCCAGACTGGAACCAGATTATGCTGCCCAGTATGATATCTTAATTAAATGACATAATGATATTTTTGTCTCACCTCTGCATGAAGAAAATACCAAGTGAAGCGTTAAGAAAAGATTACGAGTGTATTATACAGCAGAAGTGGTTAAAGGGCAAGAGTGATTCAGACCTACATGGAGCAAGTGTTGATCTAGTTCAAGTATTGGTCTCTGTTACACAAGAACTAAGTTGGAGGTGCAATGGTCTGCTTTATACAAGAGATTGTTTAGGCAATCACTTTGGCTTCTGCTCCTTTATACTGTACTGGTCTTATTATTCATTTTGGCCTTCCTGGCTACTTTTTCAAACTGATTTTAAAGCATCAGTTATTATAATTTTGCATGGGTAGAGTATTTCAGGAAGCTCCTATGCATCTCAAGATACCACGTTTACAGAGGCAGCCACAAGGCTGTCTTAGCTGTGATCAGGGCATGGCAGTAGCATGGCATGGCATCTCTGATGGCATGTGTAAGAGGTTTTTTTGGGATCTTTGCTCCGGGGGAAGGTTTTTAGATAGAGGTAGTGCTTTTAGTTAGACTCACTGGAAAAAGCTGTTGTTGGAAGAAAAGAAGCAGACAAAATTCTTGAAAGATCTGTACACCCGACATGTTCTTTGCTTTTTCCCACTAATCCAATTGATCTAATGAAAGCTACTACCTCCATCTACAAACCACACCCTTCTTATGCATAGGCCACCAAAGTCTGTTAATGACTACATTGAAAAATAGCTTAGTTTCATTAGGTCACTCCTACTATTATTGTAAAAATCTAGTGCACAACTCTAACAATGCACATTTTTTTCTGAATGGCATCTCCTTTACACTCTTCTTTCAAAGGATGAGAAACTAAATCAGTCAATTTTCTGGCCATTGAAAGGAATAAATCACTTTATTGAGAAAGCTATTTTTTCACGTAGAAATAACTCAGAAGAAAAAAACTAAAATACTGAGCAAGTGATTAACAGAGAACTAAAAGGAAAAACAAGATATTTAAGGATTTGGAGCTGTATGAGCAGGTTAAATATATATAACCTGGGTTTTAAGGAGTCATATTCTATATATGTTGATGATTTCCTGTAATTTTTTAACCCATTGGTCAATTACAACTTTGGCAGAAAGAAGGTATCCTACTGATATTAAGTTCTCACAGGTTTTATGACAGCAGGCAATCAGGAGCACTAGGATTAGTACCCCACTGAGGGAATGCCTATATCATTAGCTCACAACTTGTTTAATGCCAGAAAATCTACACGTGGCAATGGGATGCAATATTTTTCATTTTTGGTGCACCTGAAATTGTTCAAATGCAGTTCTATATGGAGTGTATGACTTAAAAATAAATATAAATATTAAATAAACAATAGCTTTCATATAAGTAATAATGACTGTGCATTTTTCTCTTTGAATGGGATTTCCACAACTTTCCATTT